TTACTGGTGAAGGCAACAATGTAGGTGTATTTCTCGGATATGACAATGGCTATTTTGCAAATCACATGGTATATTCAACTGGTGTTGACCCACGTCATTTAGCTGTTGGTGATTTCAACAACGATTCTGAACTGGATATTGTTGTCGCTAATTATATTGACTGTAATATCAGTATACTTCTTGGATATGGAAATGGTTCCTTTGCAACTCAAACAACGTACTCAACGGGTATTGGCCCATTATATGTAGCTCTTGGCGATTTTAACAACGACATTCGACTAGATATCGTCGTCGTTAATACTATTGACAACAGTATTAGTGTATTTCTCGGATATGGCAATGGGTCTTTTGCAAATCAAATAACGTACGCAACTGGTTCTTCTCCAAGATCTGTAGCCGTAGGTGATTTTAATAACGATAATCAACTGGATGTCATCGTTATTAATCATGATGACAATAATGTAGGTGTATTTATCGGATATGGGAATGGTTCTTTTGCAAATGAAATCATCTCTTCAATTGGTCCTGGTCCACTGTTTGTAGCTGTTGGTGATTTTAACAACAACAATCAACTGGATATCGTCGTGACGTATGACTTTAACGCCAATATTGGGGTATCTCTTGGATATGGTAATGGCTCTTTCGCAAAGCCATTCACATATTTAACAAGCTCCTTTGTATTCCATATAGCTGTTGGCAATTTCAATAACGACATTCAACTGGACATTGTCGTTACTCATGGTACTGACGAGAATGTTGGTATACTTCTTGGATATGGTAATGCCTCTTTTGCAAATCAAATCACGTATGCATTTGGCCTTTCTCCATCCTATGTAAGTGTTGGCGATTTCAACAGTGACACACGTCTCGATATCGTTGTCTCTGATTTTACTGGCAACAATGTGGGTGTACTACTCCATTATGCTCGAGCATCTTTAGGAAAAGGAATAATATTGGCATCTGGTAATGGTGCTCGTATACAAGATGTTGCTATTGGTGATTTTAACAACGACGCAATACAAGATATTGTCGTTGTAAATTATGGTACTAATAATATAGGTGTACTTCTTGGATTCGACAATGGATCTTTCCTAGATCAAATGATGTTTTCAACAGATTCAATGTCTAATCCATATTCAATCGCCATTGGTGATTTCAATAAAGACGATCATCTCGACTTTGCGGTGGCCAACCATGGGGCTCAGAATGTCGATATGCTTCTTGGAAATGGAAATGGAATATTTTCACCTCAAATACTTTATGGACATGGTTTAGATTTCACTCCCTTTATTGTCGCTGCGGGTGATTTCAACAAGGATGGACAATCAGATATTGTTGTCGCATATAATGACTCTGATCATGTCGATATACTTATTGCATATAATACAGGAACTTTTAGAAAACAAGCGACGTATTTGACTGGCTCTAATCCCCTCTCTGTAGCCGTTGGTGATTTCAACAACGACATGCGACTAGATATTGTCGTGGCTAATTTCTTGAGCAACAGTGTGAGTATATTGCTTGGATACGGAAATGGATCTTTTACGAATCATACAATATACTCAACTAACATCTGGCCATTTAATGTAGCTGTTGGTGATTTTAATCAAGACAATCAATTGGATATCCTCGTCCTTTATGTTGGTAGCAATATTGACATACTTCTTGGCTATGGTAACGGCTCTTTTACGAATCAAATAACATACTCAACTGGCATTTCGCCATCTGATGTAGCTATCGGTGATTTCAACCAGGACACTCGACTAGATATCATCGTCACTAATAGTGATAATGCCACTCTAATTATACTTCTAGGATTTGGTAATGGGTCTTTTTCAAATAAAATTACCTACTCAACTGATTCTATTCCAAGTTTTGTAGCTGTCGGTGATTTCAATAACGACACGCGACTGGATATAATCCTGATTTATTATAATGATAACACTGTAAGCATACTTCTAGGATTAGGCAATGGCTCTTTTACAAATCAAATCACGTATTCAACTGAGTCAACTCCAGATTTTTTAGCTGTCGGTGATTTCAACAACGATGATCGATTGGACATCGTTCTAATTAAATCTAATGAGAGCACTGTAAGCATACTTCTGGGATATGGTAATGGTTCTTTTTCAAATTCAATAACGTCTTCCGCTAGTTCTTATTCATTGTCTGTAGATGTTGCTGATTTTAACAACGACACTCAATTAGATATCGTCATCGTTAATTATCACGATAACACTGTAGGTGTGCTTCTTGGTTACGGTAATGGTTCTTTTGCAGAGCAAATCACTTATTCGACTGGATCTCGTCCAATGTCTGTAGCTGTCGGCGATTTTAATAATGACAGTCAACCGGATATCGTCGTTGCGAACTTTTATGACCACAGTGTATGTGTATTTCTTGGAGACTTTAATATGGTTTTTGTATACCAAATGTCCCTCACAACTGGTAATGGGTCAATGCCACATTCATTCATTATTGCTGATTTTAATGATGATACTTACATGGATATCGGCGTAGCCAATTCAGGCACTAATAATGTGGGTATTTTTCTTGGATATAACAATGGCTCTTTCGCAAATCAAAAAACGTATCCATCTGGCTCTTCTCCATTGTCTATAGCTGTGAGTGATTTCAACAACGATACTCGATTGGATATCGTCGTCGTTAATTCTGATGACGATAATATAGGTATATTTCTCGGATATGGTAATGGCTCGTTTGCAAATCAAACGACGTATTCAACGGGCTCTGATTCTCAACCATATTCGATCGCTGTTGGTGATTTCAATAATGACGTCTCACCAGACATCATCGTCACTAATCATGGCACTAACAATGTAGTTATCTTTCTTGGATATGGTAATGGCACATTTGAAGATCCAAAAGCGTTTTCGATCGGTTTCGGATCTTCTCCATTTTCTGTTGTTGTTAGTGATTTTAACAATGACGAAAAGCTGGATTTCGCTGTCGCCAACTATGGTAGTGACAATTTAAAAGTTCTGTTGCAGACTTGTTAATGCATGTCTCTGAGCTTAAATATTTCTTTTATCATTATATCCTAATACCCGGTTGTGTAACTAAGATTTCATGTAATCTGTTTTCTTCTACTCGTTTGATTTCTATTTTCGAATAGCTGAAACTAGCTTAAGGCAGTGAATGGAGGTATATGTGTTTCTTCTTCACCTACACGCATATCCATCGTCACATCTACATCCACACATATCGACAGCTAGTCCACATTCAGACTCAAACCCACTCACATCCACATAGAAAGTGTTCCTAAAGAGTAGACACTGATCAATGAGAGCAATTAGAAAACAGTCTTATGGGTATGCAACGGTGTCACGGAAACCAATTGCGCTATATTACAATAGATGCACAAAGATTCATGCTTGTTACTGTGATTTATTTTCGTGTGTGCTTTTATTTGGCTCAAGAAACCCACTGTATCGGATTTGCTCTTATACTTGATAGATCTGCGTCAAAGAAAGACTTCATTCCGTCTGAATTCAGAAAATATTGCCATGCCTCGAACTGCTTTTTTGTTTTAGAGTTGTCCGCAAGTAAATAAATAATACTTTGGCGCTTTTTTTCATTTGATCATAGACAGTAAGTTTATCTTCTTCTCTTTGAGATAATGCTAGGTTTTTTTAAATAATGTGAAGCACAGTCAAATATCAAGATATGAAACAGTATTTAGGTGAGGTCTGCTATTGCCGCAAGTGTTTGAGAAACGAGATTTTACAAAAAGATGCTATAAGACTACATTCGAAAGTTCAACAACATATATTAACAGTTTAAGAAGAAACATTGAGGAAGCCAATGGCGAATACTAAACATAGTAAGCAAGCCAAACATAAATATGGAATAGACCATGATGAAGTTCCCAAAGCTTGCATTTACAATCACTTGATTGGGCAAACCCGATCAATATACAGCAAAACTTGTTTATTTACTATGACAACATTTCTGACGTAATAGCAGATGCAATAATAAATAGAACGAATGAAGGTTTATTCGGAGGTGACTATCTTGGTCATCTGATACATAATAGCGTAGCTTGAACATAGCTCAAATATTTTTATTCACAACTGGATATTGTTTTGAGTGACGGTGATTTTCCATTATACTCTTTATATCTACACCTTGTTGCTTTCTTTTTTCTTTGCTATTAAGATCATATAGGTGACTTCGAAATTCGCATGTCAGAAAAACATATACCCAACCTATGTTACTGTTGCCTTTTTATTTTTTGACGAAAATATCAAGGGCCTCGAGATTCTATGAAGTCGAACTGTGTATCATTCAGACAGAATATCGGTTATTTCTACCGTTAAATATTGCCTTCACTATTAATACTTTGCAGTTTTTCTTTGATTATTTACTTTTGTTTCAATACATCATGTAGCATGAAACTTGCATGCAGAGAACAGAAAATCCATACTAAAAATAGTGAAAGCAACTTGTCCATTGTTATTTTTCATATGATAATCCACTATTGGTGTGGCTACTGTTTTTTCTTCCACCTGCTAGGCAAATAAGTGCTTATTTTAACACGTTAGAATGTGTTTTTTACGCTGAAAAAGCAACCAAAAACGATTTTTATTCATGGAAAAAATTAACTCTGTCGACATCCACATTATCTTCAGACTCGTTTTCTCTTTTAAAAAGCACATATTTAACGGGTAACAACACGTTTTTTCTATTGATTTTGTCTGACTGAGTTGCTATTGACTCATCTTCCTATTTTACCATATTCATTTCTCGCATGTTTTCTGACTTTTTACCATGTTCACTTGTACTATTTCTAACTTTGATTGGGATGGCTACCTCTTATCGATATACAGAGAAATACGAGAAAGAGATCTATCCGATAATTCTTGATATGTGTACAGTCTTTTGAAAAGTTTTTCGTTATGACACAGCTTCACGCTTTTTAGAATGTGTGCAGTAATCAGAGTAAGGCTGTAATCAAATGGGGCAAGTACTTTAACACTTTTGATATGGACACTAGTTGTTCTCTTATTCTGGCTTCGCTATCTCTTTTTTTTCCTTTGGAGTGAGCATTTCATCTCACATAGGTCTATGTTACACACTGATTGAGAAACGGACGAAAATCTTCGTGATATTTCTTTTAGATCACTCATTTCTTTGCGCACAATGAAAATTGGCATGATCCATCATTTTCATGCATTTTTTTTGTTTTCATTGATAATTATTTTGATTCTAACAAATAAGTCACCATTGGATAACTTCAAGAATGGAGCCTTTGGTTAGGTATGCTACTGCGATAGCAAAGCTGTCATTCAGTTCGTTTCGATTTTTTCTAGCCGGCTTCAGTGTCGCCTTTGTAAGCGCCTTATGGCAGTCAACAATCGAAAGACACTGTGGTTTGGGCCCTCAGATTTGTTACATCAAATTTCAACAACATTTTGGGTGAACACAAGACTTTTCGTTGATCGTTATGTATTTGACAAGCACCATATTTGTCGATGTGGATGCGGATTTACTTGAACTCACCACGTTGCAAGTATTCATTATGTTGATTATACTCACGACTTATGTGTTCGGTTTAGGTCGTTGTTCTGCTTTTTCAAATAAGTCTCTTATATTCAGATTGAATGTTGACTGTGACTTGAAACATATTGATATTATTCATCATACGATCGGTTTGCTTGGTTGTGGCTATCTGTTACCGACGCGTTGTAGATATGATATGATTGTACGACTCTTGCTCGATATCTTGACGAATCTAATTTGTTACCTGCAAGAAACTTTCTCTGGTTGATCTTTTGAATCGTTGACCTGACAACGTGTCACTACTCGTTTGCTCTTCGTACTCTGTGTCATCATTTGCCTTTGTCATCATCTGATTGTACTGGGTCGAACAATGGCCATGAATCCTTGAATTCATATCGATGGCAACTTATTTGATTCATAATTATGTTCTTTTAACTCTTGTAGTATCGTGGTTGGTATTCAGCATGACCTATAATGTGATATGGATTAGAAACAAGTTTGATAGTGATCAATACCATTGCCATTAATGTCCGTTTTTTCGATCCATGAAACTTCATCAATGATTTTTGAGCAAAATTTAAAATCGAAAACGATTGTCTTTCGCATTCCCAGCTTTTCTTTGTATTTTCTTCTGATTTTACTCTGTATTGACATTCTCTAATAATGAATGCTGAAATAATATTTGCACTAAAAGTAGTATTTAGCTGTTCGAAGTTCATGACGGAAATGAATTATAAAGTAATTCAGTTTTATATAGATGGTGTATTAAAATCTTAATATGATTTCTATAACCAATTTTATTATTTGGTCAATAAATAAGGATCAACTTCTACAAGAATTGATCAGAAACTCCAAGACACTATCAGAAACTAGGAGCTACCAGGACTACTGCGGATTTTCATGATTAAGAAGAATGGAAATTTATCAATACCCACACCCACACCCAAAAGCGACAAAATATATCTGCATCCATAGCCACATACTCATACCTACACCGACATCCACACCCAATTTCAAAGAGATTCATATTTACTGCCGTCCCTCTCACTCAGTCATCTACATTCATGGTCACTCATACCAATTACACATAGCAGCTCGCACTATCACCATAGAGGGGACATTATATAAGCAATTTGATGTATTTCTCCAGCAATGACGAAAACCATCATGATTTTTCTAACTCAATCTCTGAAATGTTGATACAGAAACGTGTGTATTTCTTTCAAGGGGGAAAAAACGGAATCCTGGAATCCTGGAATCTTACGGAATCATGGAATCTTACGGAGTTGGATGGAATCTTATGGAATCCGATGGAATCTTATGGAATCCGATGGAATCTTATGGAATCCGAT